AACAAAGGAAACCATTAATGTTTTCAATAATAGCTTGTCGTCACAGGAATGGAGTTCGATTTATAGAGAGACCAATGTGGACAAAGCATATAACTCCTTCTTAGAAATTTTTGATTCCTTATATAATAAATACTGTCCCACTATAAAATGCTCCAAGAAAAATAAATCTAGATCTCCTTGGCTTACAAAAGGAATATTAAATGCTTGTAAAAAGAAAAATAATCTTTATTAAAACATTTTATCAATTCCAAAACTAAAGAAGCAGAACAACGATATAAGATATACAAAATTAAATTACCTAATATAATAAGAGACAGTAAAAAACTGTACTATAGGAAGATATTATATGATAACAAAACTAATCTAAAAAGAACATGGGATATATTGAATGGTTTGATTAAATACAAAACCACAAAGACAGGATATCCGAAATATTTTTGAGATGCACATGGAAACAAATGTAATATGGTATTAGCAATAGATAGCTTCAATTAATTTTTTGTTAATATTGGACCAAATTTAGCAGGTGAAATTCGAGACATCCCAATTGGACAATTTAATGAAAAGATTAAAGTAAACACACACTCAATGTTTCTTGCAGCTATAACCGAACAAGAACTTATAAATATTGTTTATAAATGCTAAAGCAAACAATCTACTGACTGTCATGACATAGATATGTTCCTGGTGAAAAAAGTTATAAATCACATCTCCAAACCACTCACCTACATTTCTAACTTATCATTTCAAACCGCTACTGTTCCAAACAACATGAAAATTGGTAAAGTCATACCAATCTACAAAAATAATGATAAACACGTTTACCAACTACAGACCGATCTCATTGTTGCCTCAGTTTTCAGAAGTCTTGGAAAAACTCTTTAGTACACGACTAGAAAATTTCATTGATAAACATCACATAGTTAATGATGGACAATATGGCTTCAGAAATAAAAGAACAACTTCTATGGTTATAATAGATGCCGTGGAAGAAATCACCAGTGCACTTGACAACAAAAAATATGCAATTGGAATTTTTATTGACTTCAAAAAAGCTTTTGATACAATAAATCACTCAATTCTGCTTGACAAATTGGAAAGATATGGAATTAGAGGAGGGGCATTGAACTGGGTAAGAAGTTATTTAAGTGGAAGGGTACAGTATATTAATATTGGACAGAAAAAGAAAAAAAATCTTGACATTGTGGTGTACCCCAGGGATCAGTACTGGGACAGAGTTTGTTCAATTTGTACATTGACAATATTTTTGAAACATCTACATCACTAAAATTTATTTTATTTGCAGATGATACAAACATATTTTATAGCAGTGACAATTATCCAAATCTTATTAAAAAACAAATGAAGAATTGATTGTTGTTAAAAGATGGATGGACAGCAATAAGTTGTCCTTAAATTTAAACAAGACTAAAGCAATAAAATGTGGTAATCAAGAAACAAAGTTTGAGTTGCCAATAAATATAGATGGTTTTCAAATTGAAATGGTACAAGAAAGCATATTTTTGTGAATCACAATAGACAGTAAACTGTCATGGAAACCTCACATCAGACACACAAAACGAAAAATCTCAAAAAGTCTATCAATAATAAATAAAGCCAAGTCATTTCTTGATTGCAACACACTTTGTGTATTGTATTGCTCCTTAGTTCTCCCTTATTTTACTTATGGCGCTGAGGTATGGGGGAATAATTATCAATGCTCCGTACAGCCTCTTTATATATTGCAAAAAAGAGCGGTCCGTATCATGAATAAGGTTGGATTCTTAGAACACACAAATCAACTTTTTTACGATCAAAATTATTAAAATTACAGGATATAATTAAATATCAAACAGTTCAAATTATTTTCAAAGCATTTAATAAACTTCTACCAAATAATTCACAAAAGCTATTTATAATTAAAGAGCTGTCACATAGCCTAAGGAGAGATAAAATATTTAAATTACCACTGGTGCGAACAACACGTGAAAGCTTCTGTGTGTCTGTGTGTGTGGGATAAAACTTAAAGACTGATCACAAACAATGTCAAAATATTCAGATTTTTAAAGCACACTACAGAAGAACAGTCTGGTTAAAATACATTACAAATGAGAATGGGCGATGATGTAAGTAACCCCCGGAGTATGTGGCAGGGACTAAATACAATCACATACTTTAGAGGGAAAACCAGAACACTGCAGACCACGGCCTTTCTGTGTGAGGATCTAAACGTATTCTATGCCAGATTCGACACAGCGAACACCATGAGACCGGACAGTGAGCGCACCGCGGATGAAGTCAGTGTGCACACTGTGTCTGAAGAGGATGTGCGGAGGTGCTTCAGGAGGGTGAACGCACGCAAAGCTGCTGGTCCGGACGGGATTCCCGGCCGCATCCTCAGGTCCTGCGCGGCTCAGCTGGCTGGAGTGTTTACACACATCTTCAACCTTTCCCTCTCTCTGTCTGTAGTCCCAGCCTACTTCAAAATGGCCACCATTGTCCCTGTACCCAAATCCTCCACCATCTCCTCACTGAATGACTGGCGACCTGTAGCCCTGACCCCCATCGTGAGCAAATGCTTTGAGAAGTTGGTCAGGGACTTCATCTGCTCTGCACTGCCCGACTCACTGGACCCTCTACAGTTTACATACCGCCACAACAGGTCCACTGATGATGCCATAGCCCTGACACTCCATGCTGCCCTGTCACACCTGGAGAAGAGAGACACGTATGTGAGAATGCTGTTTGTAGATTACAGCTCAGCATTCAACACCATTGTTCCCTCGAAGCTGGACAGGAAACTGCAGGATCTAGGACTGAGCAGCTCCCTCCGCAGCTGGATCCTTAACTTTCTGTCTGACAGACGCCAGGTGGTCAGACTGGGCAGCACCACCTCATCCCCCGTCACACTGAACACTGGTGCTTCACAGGGGTGTGAGCTGAGCCCTCTCCTGTACTCACTCTACACCCACGACTGCACGGCCACGAGAAACTCCAACATCATTGTGAAGTTTGCAGACGACACCACAGTGGTGGGTCTCATCACCAACGACGATGAGACGGCCTACAGGGAGGAGATCAGCGCCCTGGCCCACTGGTGTCAGGACAACCATCTCACCCTCAACGTCACAAAGACAAAGGAGATGATAATGAACTTCCGGAGGTGCAGAGGAGTACACACCCCCATCACCATCAACGGCGACGCTGTGGAGAGGGTGAGCATCTTCCGTTTCCTTGGAGTTCACCTGGCAGAGGACCTTACGTGGTCAGTGCACACGAACAATACAGTGAAGAAGGCACAGCAGCGCCTCTTCTTTCTCAGGAGACTGAAAAGATTTGGCATGAGCCGCCGCATCCTCAGGACCTTCTATCGCTGTGCCATTGAGAGCATCCTCACCGGATGCATCACCACCTGGTATGGCAACAGCACCGCTTACAACCGCAAAGCTCTCCAGAGAGTAGTGCGGTGTGCAGAAAGGATTATTGGAGGTGAGCTTCCCTCCCTCCAAGACATCTACAGGAAGCGGTGCCTGAGGAAAGCGGGGAGGATCATCAAGGACTCAAGTCACCCCAGCCATAAACTGTTCAGACTACTTCCATCAGGAAGGAGGTTCTGCAGCATCCGGTCCAGAACCAGCAGACTGAGACAGCTTTTTCCATCAGGCCATCAGACTGCTGAACACTTCACAGACACCTCACCCTCACTACTGAAACTCCAAAATTACACTCCATACTGTACATTAATGCCACTGTTTTGCACATACCAACCTCTGTACATTTATATCTCTTATTTTATTGTTTACTTTATTCATTTGTTAAATATGTATGTACGCATTATACACACACTCACATGCACACACGTAGAAAAATAAAAATAAACTGCTTAGCACACACATTTAGGAATGTATATACCTTAAATACTATATATATTATTACTTAGATTAGCCATTTTTATATTTTGCTTGTTTTTACGTTATTGTATTTTTGCACAACTGTTGCTGTGCAGCTCGCACACAAGAATTTCACTCACATGTACTGTACCAGTGTACCTGCACATGTGACGTGACAATAAAAGCAATTTGATTTGATTTGATGTGAGTAAAGCTGTATGGGAATATATAATGAATGATATTGACAAGAATTGTTAAATTGTCTAGACTACCATTATTATTATTGTTATGATTTTCTTTGTTCATAAGGTTGTTGAATTTGAGTTTTTTTCTACATATTGAATGTTAAACTATTAGTGAAAAATAGGAGTGGGCTTGAATAAGCTTGGCTTCCGCCCACTCCCTTTCGAACATGCCTACAACAATGTCAGCTTGATTTATTATTGTTTTATCTTGTGAGGTTTATTATTGATTTATCTTGTGAGGTTTATTATTGATTTATATCCTGTTGTTAATTGTGATGTTATTGGTATGTTGGAAATAAATAAATGATGATGATGATGATGATGATAAAAGGCCAGAAGCACCATAATTATCCATCTGTGAGCCAATGCTGAGGAGATGTCCGTGTTTGTGGTGGTGACCTCTGATGAGAGGAGGATGCTACGTTGGCCATGTTTGTTGAGCTGTTTATTTATTTTACATAAATGGTTGCCTGGTTTACAATTGTAATTACTTGGATTATTAGATGTTTTCTTTTTGTGCTGCTTTAATTTTTTCTTTTAAACCAACATGGCTGAAAATGGCCTCAACAAAACTGCTTCCAAACCCGTTTTACATGATTGAAGGTCTTGTAGCTACACACTAGTTAATTGCTGTTTTGGTCACACATGTGAAAATTATAGATGTTAACTGTAATTCCTGACAAAACAATCACCGGTTCTAAAACTGGCGGTTCCATTGCAGTCCTTTATTTATACAGCGCCAAATCCAGCAAGAGCCATCTGCAGGACGTGGCACTGACCAATTCAGAACACATTTAGACATGTGGCGTTGATTTTAACTTCCAGAAGATAACATTTTAATTTCATCACGTTTTCTAACTTTCAGGTTCCCGCTGGTCTCCAGTACTTTTACCACCCCATCCCAGTGTGGCCTCAGTACAAGAAGGGAGCTCCGGTGTTCCTGACCACAGTGTGTGCACCTCCAGCACCACCACCTCCTCCTCAGCAGGTGTTTGGGTACTACATCTTACCGCAGCCGTCTCCTCAGTTCATCCTACCTCAGGCCCCCCTGCAGCCTTAGGGAGCCGTGAAGGCCTGAGCTGACCAGAAGTCTGAGCATGACTGAGCCATGTGATGCAACATCTCAAGTTGCCCTACAACTAGGCCAAAACATGTCTGTTTATTTTAATTTTACTTTTCAAACCTTTTTAATTTTTGCACACTTTTATCTTTCCTTTGATGCTTTGTGGTTGCCTCACAGCGATGCTGCTGAACTGGACCTAAAGCTGTTTAGTCGCTCTGCTAATTGTCTAACGTACAGCTTCAGGCACCGAGTGTGTGGGCGAGCTCAGGAACTCTCAGCAATATGGTTACTGCCAAATCACTGGGTTTATTTCTTGTGATCATGTTTCCCAATTCTACCCATTTAAGATTCGCTGTGAACAATTAGCCGGCGATTTATGTAAAATGTGATTCAGGGTTTTATTTTTGTTGTAGCTACGGTTAAAATATCTGTACATTAAGTACATTTCTTCTGAACAGCTTGTAAATATTTATTGAACATAACATTTATAAATGCACACCTTTGGTCTTTTTTAGCTTGTAATTTATTTGGCTACCACTAGATGGTGCTCATGTTACACCCAACAAATGAAATTGTGTTTTTTTTTTTTAACCTGGATGCTGTGCATGACAGATGAACCTTCAGAGCACAAATAATTGTTTTAAATCCACTGGCTCAATGTCATCTTTTATATTTATTGTAGATATTGTTTCTTCTGAAACTCTGCTAAAGCTTTATAACACTGAGATGAAATGCTTCACTTAAACTTGTGATCGTTATTTATTCTGTTCAGACTTTTCCCAGCTGGTGTGATCACTTGGTTATTTTGCTGTAGAGGTTTGTCAATTAAAACTGTTTTTACTTGAGTCTTTCATTTTGCATTTGTTTTATTTTCATTTAGCACACACATGGTGTTTCTCTCTCTCAGGTGAATCACCTGTCTGTCTGAACATGCTGCCCATACTTCTGTTCTAGAAGCTGCCATCAGCAGCAGGATGCTGCTGGGGGAAACTCCTGCGTAGAGTGCGTCAGTCCAAGGACATGACGCTGTTCCTCTAGTGAGAGTCTGTCTTTGAAAGCCACTCACAGAGGAAAGATGTTTGATGCCAATAATTATTTAAAACAGGCTTGTTTGTAAATGATTCTCCAGGGTTTTTTAAATAAACCTGGCTCTTAACGGAGCCGTTTAGTTCAATTTAAACCTGAAAGCACAAATTCCAGGTTTAATCAAACTTTGTTCATATGTTTCCATTTCTGTTGCACCTCTAACCGGATAGAAACCTAAAAGTGCCTCATAAGAGCCGGAAGTGTAAAACGTTAAAACAAGACAATAACTCAATTAGAGATAAACTCATAATTGATTATTTTGTCTCTGATTTTAAATGAATCAGTTATATTTAGACTTTACTCTGATCAAACACAGACAAACCTGCAGCTTTCATGCCGAAGGGGCGTTGTATTCCTTGTAAACACGCCATGAACTTGAAGATTACACACGCACGCGCCCATGACAGGCACTCTGAGAAGAATAAGCAAACAGGAGTCAGTGTCCTTATCAGAGCAGAAGGTAGCAGTGTGCGCAATCGCGCGTTCTGGTGACTGCGTTCCTTCAATGAGCACCAAACGGGACCAGAGCTTATGCGCGCTCCTCCCATCGGACTCCCCACCCAGGGAGGGCATCGCAGGTGGGACTGGTGCAGCTGAGAACGCCGACACGAACCGAAGGGAAGGCGGACGTCTCGTGTGCGCTCTGGAGATGGAGACCACGAACCACAGCCTGCGCGGCGACTCCAAAGTGGATTGCGTAAACGACTTGATCAGCCGAACTTTTGGGGACCCAGCGGAGGTGTCGGTGCCGCTGACACTGTCGGGGAAGCGGGTGACTCACGTGGAGGGGCAGGACCTCTACAGACTTCGGGACAGAAAGTTTTTGATAGAGGAGAAAAAGCGCCTCTGCGCGTTGGCTCTGGGCGCCGCTCTGCTCGGGATTGTTCTGATGATCATCCACTCTGAAATATGTCCCTACAT